ATTCCTTTCTAACGGGTGTTGATTGGAGTCACCCAGCTGTGTCTTGATCAAAATACATCTGTTATCTTAAAAGAAGCCTCGTCTCAAGTCTTCTTATTTGGCTTTTATTGAAATTTGGGAATAAAAGGTGCCATACACTAGTATCCATCAATAGGGTTAATTTAGGGTTCAGTGTGGCATGCAATCTCTGAAGTGCTTATTTTTCCTGTAGTACTTTTTCTCCTTGCTTGTTCTTCAGCTTATTTTCTTTCCCCTGGGTCATCTCTCCTTTGCTGTGATCATAATAGACATATAATACTATTGAGGCATAACCATGTGAAAGGCAAACTGGGATTTGCTTCTCAGAGATATGGATTTGGGCCAAATGCATGGAGCAATTGTGAAGGTAGACTGAGAGTACAATAATTAATCATTTCAGAAACAAATAACACCCGGCCAAATCCCAGTTGCCTTCATGAATCTGCCAGTATTTCCATAAACATACAGACAGAAATTCAGTCAATAATGGAAAGATTATGAGGAAAAGTCTTGATACTAAAATGGCAGTAGAATAAAAAGATTTTGGAGTAACATTAAACAAGTTAGGAGGCCGAATAAGATATATAGCATATTCTTGGAGTGTTTACACAAAGATAAGATATACTCAGTGGTTCTTAGTTCCAAATAAGTATGCACAGGAGTTGAAATAACTAAAATTGTTGGAAGCAAGTTAAAAAGCCTTTCCTCTGATTCAGAAGGACCCTTCTAATGGATTGTGTTGCAAAACTAAGTCTCTGGAAATGAATTCTTTTTAAAACATTATACAGGATATTGTTACCTTGTTATCTTTTGTGGTTAATGTTTAACTGTATTTAATATAAATTTGAAAATCAGTACTGCAAAGTGCCAGTCACAGCAAAAATGAAAAAGAGATACATTAATCAATAACAAACAATTAATTTCAAAGTCCACCCAGACTATGCCAAGATGTGAAATATTGCCACGTTCCTAAATTCATGCATTGACACTAAGCAGTTATTTACTTAATTGTGGTTTACTGAATAAGCCACAACTGCACAACATGATAAATCACATTGTGTGTTAACTATGTTGTATAAACAGCCAAAATATAGGTCTATGGAATAAATATATAACCAGTGATTAGGATTATGCAAAACTCTGGTCCATTCCCAGAATGTTCCATTTCTCCCAATCCAGTATGGGCTAATCTGAACATTCTGGGGTGGTTTCTCCATTTCCAGAAGCAAATCTTCCAGAAGAACAGTTCATGGTAATCTGGATGTGGTTGTCCCCATCTCCTTATTCCACTCCAGAATGCTGAGGTAGGCCAGTTCTAATAGAAAAGTGATGCGTGAGGTACCACCAGAACATTGTGCAGACAGATCATACAGGTTTGAACAGAACTAATAATGGCTATCCAGTGTGGTGTATGGCAGTTACAGTACTGGACTAGGACTGGAGAGATCAACATTCATTCAGCCCCTAATTATGAAGTTCTCTGGGGTGTGATTCATAGCCATAATAATAAGCAATCTACCAGGCTACTTAGCAACACGAACATCATCAGCTTCCCACCCCACCCTTACATTCTGTGTGGTTGTCTAACCGTCAGCCACCGCTGCAATACTGTATTGAAATAATAGCTGCAAGTTATCAGATCTGATGATCCCAAAGAGAGGTGATTTCCCTACATTTGACGACTGGCAACTGAATGAGCTAGATTCATTTAAAGTCATTTATGGTTCATTATTTAGCATGTTGTAAAAACTCAGTTTAGAATAGCTGAACTCTACCATGATGTATATTTGATGAAAAGTCATCTCCAGTCATGAACCTGAGTTTGTGCACACAGCACACGTCTCTGTGCATAACTGCCTCATGTTAAAACACTTAAGTAGATACTTTTTAAAGTAAAAATTGACTGAGCAAACATTTTTATAAAATTAGTGATTACATTCACACATCATGCTAACTGATGGCTAACCTAACCACTCTGTACTCAATTTAATTGGCTGTGTTCATGCAACATACTTAACTGCAAAGCCCACAGGCTGGGTTTGTGTAACATACTAGGCTAAAATGTGATTACAGTTAGCTAATTTGTGATACCTTTGTTGTTCAAAGTCACTCTTCTAAAATTAACCTGCATTCTCAACATTGTTATAAAAAAAAGTGCCCATTTTATATACTCCCCAAAGCCGATAAAGTAAACGGATTTTTTCTTCAATAAATTGCGCAGCCGGGGCCTAGCGAAATTGATTTCTGCTGCCGGCAACTTTGCAAAATAAGGGAAATACGGCGCTCTGAAAGCCCACGTGGCTTGGAATATCATGAAGACTGAGGAATGCTCGGTTAAATTTCAAACCCGGAAACGGAAACATTAAAGTCAGAGGCAAGGGTTTTTTTATTTTCTTTTGAACTCCAGCAAAGGACTAGAGAATTTGGACAAGCCTTGTGCGGTGAGTGAGCTGAAGTGACTTTCCCGAGGCTAATCTCCTTTGTCTTGATTTGCGTCAGTTCGGTTTGTGCAGAGTCAGGGGGTGGGGTGAAATGTATGGCTGAACTGGCCGGTATGTCAGCCTCTTTCACTCTCTCTCCTTTTCTTTTCCTCTAAAAGATCGGCGCTACGGAATCCAGATAACTGGGAAAGAATTAAACGCAGCGGGGCTATTAAGAGAGTATTAGGAAATTAATCACAACGCGTGAATTTATGTACTCCAAACTGCAGATTTAGTCGCAAGCCTTAGTGGGAGTTTGTTCCAAGTAATGTGTGTAAGTTGTACTGCTATCTATATTTTCTTGGACACCATTTAGCCGATAAGATTTATTTCTGAGACAATATATCACATCTCTGCTGCAGCAGGAACAGCTATGGTAGGCTAATGACCTCGTTCCCAGGAATATAAAAAGCCTTGAATATACTTAATACCGATCACAATCAGATCGATTGTTCTCCTTTCATAGTTTGTCTCTATGCTGATGTATGTTATGTTTTACTGGCCATTTCCCTGTATGAAAATAAAGCAGGGACTTCTGCTTTTATAACAGCCGTGTAGAATTTCAGCATATGCAGCCTACCTATTCTCTGGAGTCTGCAAACAACCAACCACGCTCAGAGAGCACCAAGGACTCCACAGTTCAACCCAGAGCTACATACATTCTCTTCTGCTGGAACTACATATTCTCTTTCACTAGGGCTAATATATATGGCCTGCAAAAAACTAGATGATCACCAGATAGCAAATTTTTGTATTCTGTTGCAATCAGGTAGGGATTTTTGCAGTCTCAACTTCTACCTGAAGTTTAAGAAGTGCTTGGCTGTATCTGCCTGAAATCAGTTAGCTCAAGACATCTGCTGGCCAGACTGAAGGAAAGGATTTGATTACATGCCATCAAGTTGGTGTCCACTCTTAGTGACCACATAGATATACTTTTTCCATGACAATCTGTCCCTAACTTGGTCTTTCAGGTCTTCCAATGGTACACCCATTGCTGCTGCAACTGAGTTCATCTACCTTGTTGCTGATCATCCTCTTTTCTTTCCTTTCATCTTTCCCAGCCTTAGAACCTTCTTTAGAGAGCTAGGCCTTTGCATACTGTGTCCAAAGCAGGATAATTTGAGCCTGGTCATTTGTGCCCTAATGAGAACTCTGGGTTGATTTGTTTGATGATCTGGTTTTTTGTTTTTTGTTTTGGTTTCTTGGCTGTCCACGGTATTTTCAGGAGTCTTCCCCAACACCAAAGTTCAAAAGCTGCAATACTCTTCCTATCCTACTTCTTCAAAGTCCAGTGTACACTTCCAGATGAAAGGATAGTGGTCTTTTATCTTGATATCAAAGCTAATTGGACAAGCAGTACAATCTTATTTAACAGTGGCAATGAAACAATTTTCTCTTGCTTGAAGGCAGTAGGATACATTAGGGAGATTATATGGTAGATATGTGACCTGACATAGTGTGTCACAGTGTGCCTTCAGCTTTGGTTTGTTGCATTTCAGTGCCTGCTGATTGAGGTTGCTGCCTTTTTTTGGTCTAATGATGAAAAGGATCCTGCCTAAAATGCATGCATCGGTAGCTGTATCTCTTTGAAGAAGACAAACATAATGCTGAAATAGGCATAGAATTTCTTTTTTTAAGTATTGAAAATTATTATTATTATTATATTTTTATCCTGTCTTTTTTTTTTTTTGGTCAACTCAAGGTGGTAAATATACATAACGCTGCCTCCTATTTTCCCCACAATAACCCTGTGAGGTGGGTTGGGCTGAGAGAGAGTAACTGGCCCAAAGCCACCCAGCTGGCTTTCATGGCTAAGGGAGGCCTAGAACTCACAGTCTGCTGGTTTCTAGGCCAGCACCTTAACCACTACACCAAACTGGCTCTCAGATATTATTATTAATATTATTAATATTAGTATTGCAGTTGCTGGGATTTTCTACATTATAAAATCAGGATGTAAACTTCAGTATAACTGGACAGCAATCACACATTCCTCATGTGTTGACTGTACTTGTAACAAATCCTGTCTTTGTAGGTAATGTAAATATCCTGTAGTCAGATGTGTGAAGTATTTGCACTTTTAAAAATTCAAGTGCTGAGAGGTTTTGCAGGTTTTTTTTTTCTGAGCAAGCTTTACTAGTTGCATTACTGAAATGGTTATATTTTTCAATTAAAAGAATCTTTAAAAATGTCAGATGGAATATAACGATTGGTCAACACCAAGGGCAGTGTTGTTGGTGCCTGGATGTGATGCACTGGAGGCCTAGGTCTTAATATTGCAATATTATTATGCAAACATGGCCATAATGTGGTTTGCTTGTTTAGCTTAGTGTGTTATGTCAAGAGACATATTGTGGTTTGTTAATCATGGTTTTATAATTTCACATGTATGAACACGCCCGGTAAGTCTATGGTCCACCTTTTCCAAATCAGTTATTATATCTACTTGAGAACACTCATTCTTCAACAGATTTAAACTGAATATAACTTCAACTAGTGTGGCTCCATGATGTGGGATTCAGATTAGTTCCTGGACATTTAAGTTTAATATCTAAGACTGGCCTGATTTACCTATAACCCTAAAGTATAAGGTGGCTAGTTTGCTTTTGATTTATCATGCAAACCCAATAATTACAGTTAGTTTCATGTGGGAACCAGGTCACAATGGCATTTTAGTAAGCTGTGGTTGTACACAATTCAGTTATCAAAACAACAACGCAGCAAAAATCAAAACAAAGTACAGTGGTACCTCTAGTT